ACTAGGCTTAAATAAATTATAGTAAGGACGGAGGGAAGGGAAATATACTATAGTATTTTCTCTTCGATTTATTCTGTATAATCTCTATATAAAAATCGTTTTTATTCTTCTTATACCCAAAACTAATTATAATTACCCACCTTCTTCTATTATAATTCTATAAGGCTTCTATAACTAAATCCTAGTAACGTTACTTCGTAGCGTCCTTATAGAATATAAAGAAATACTTTCCTTACTATAGTTTAAATTTTACTCTTTAGTATTAATATTTAATACTATATATAATATAGTATGTTATTTAAATAATAATAATTATTAATATATATTCTAACTAGTCTAAAGTGAAGCTAAACTTATAGAGTTCTTAAAAGTAATTAAATAATAATTTTCTTTAGGAGTTCCGTACTTTACCTTCGTTATACTCGGGTTCTTATAATCGGGAAGGAATTTAATAAACTATAATATTATAGCCTACTTTCCGTCCTAATTGTATAAATATTGCCTATCTACAAACTCTTCTCGTACATTATATTATAATTATAAAATATTATTTATATTCTTTCTATTATTAATTACTTTTTAAATACGAGGATAAAGACGAAAGTAAATCTTTATGCCAGTATATCCTTTCTTAATACAACTAAATTCCGCTTAACTAAAAAAAAGTAGCAAACGGACCTATATTCGCTTTTGCTATAAGCGGAAGCCTAATATTATTAAACCTATTATTAACCTATTAATAAAACTAATATAAAATAAGCTAAATACTATATAAAAACCTACCTAATCCTATTAATTCCTTACCTTAATAGGAGTTCTACACTTAGTTATATATATATATACAATGCCCAACCCCTTAATATTATCTTTAAAAAAGTTCGGGAAATTGTAATAGTACGTAGAATATTTAATTTGAAATTAAAAGGCCTAATTCCCTTTACTAGGGTTAAAAAAGGTATAGGTAATTTACCGGATATTTTAGAATAGAATTGTCTCAATATTATTGTCCGAAGGTATATTTAAATCTACATTAAAAGTAATATTAAGGACTAATTCGCTAAGTAGTTATAAACCTTCTTCTTTATATTATAAATTTAATACTATAACTATATTAATAATTTATACTTCTTTAAAGTTTATAGCATTGAAGCTTAAACTCTCTATACTGATTAAAGTATTCCAATCCTTAATAAACAGTTCTAGAGGGATACCCTCTAATATATTTAAATAATACTAATATTAGTAAATAATTAGCTACAAGAAGAATATAGGAAAAAAGAAGACGTATTGCCCCCTATATTACCTATAGCAAATAAAAGTTAAGAAGAATAAAATAAATATAAGGAAGGAAATAGTAATAAAAGGAAAGAAAAGAATATAATTTATTTATATATTTAAACTTATATTAGGGCCGGCGTATTTAATTACTAAGTAAAATTATATAAATACTTCGTAAATACTTTATAAATACTTTGTAAACATTTTATAATAGTTTTATATATACTTTATACACACTTTATATTTAGTTTCGTATATAAAAAATACACACCCTAAAAGGCTATACTACTATATATATTAATTTAGACCTATATTTTTAAATATCTAAGAATTACATTCGAAGTATTCTATAGTAGTATAAAAACGCTATTCGGATAGTTAATATAAGTAGAGTAATTTATATAAATATAATAGTATATTTAAAAATATAAATAGAAATATAGGCAGATAGTATATAACTATTATATTATATCAATAAACTTGCTAGAAATAAATTTTAATTATAAGAAATATTATAAAATAGTATGTAAGGACTTAATAACTCCTTCTATTTATACTATATACTATAGATATATTAAAGGTTGCAATATGCCGATTTAGTTATTTCGCTATTAAATAGGATATATTTAGTATAACCTATACCTTACAAAAATACAATAATGCAATGTACTTCCGAATACTCTATACGCTGTATGTTAATGTATATGTTATTCGGGATAGGGTTATATATATAAAAGAATTTGTGAGTCCGACAAGGGGGGGGGGGGTCGCCTGAGCTATACGTCCGTTTCGCGTTCTGTAGCACCGAACTGAATAAACTGGATGTCCGTCTGTTGTTCCTGTTCAGTTCTCTTACCTGGGCCCGGTTCTCAGTTATATCTGAACAAAATCACAAAACCATCAAGAACATTGTCGATGAAGTTTAGGATGAGGCCAATTCGGACTTTATTTGCGTCCTAGTACTTGTAACTGTAAAGGCCTGTCATGCCTCAGGCTCCCGTCTTGTTGACATCAAACTTGAAGCCATAATGACGATGGCATTGAGCTTGGCACAGTAACAGGACCAGTTGGAGATTCGTCGTGGTGATGCGTGGACTCTTAACAGCCAGGATAAGAGCTCATTGCGGGGTCAAAGCATAAGGTGGGGTTAATGACCGCGGTTGGAGTGTTCAGATTCAGACTTCAGTTCCCGTCTCGTTCGTTCAAACAACAACAATCATTTTTCGCGGCGTAAACAGTCCGTCCCTCGCCTTTCTGTTGGCAGTCGGTTGGCGATTGAAGCTTGATCATTGAAAGGGCCCTCTTTGAAGCATATTCTCGTTCAGTTATCTTCTTGATCCGGTTCTCCCACTTTCGGCAGTCAGTGCTTCTACCCAAGGTACTTCATGTACACCAGCTGAGCTGGGCAGGAACAGCCAGTGTAGCTCCAGGTCCTTCCCACTCTGGGTGAACTACACAATCCAGCAGCTTTGATGATTGGCCGAATCACAGCAGTGTGGAGCTTCCAGTCGTCTTGCTGGCCGACATTGGGCATCATCGGCGTCAGTTCCTTCACATGATCTTTGAACTTTGCTTTCTTTTCTTCCTTTGGCTTTCGATTTCGAGTTCCTCCTGGAGTGACATCTCAGCTCCTCAGTTTACCCAAAGGATGGCATCAACAGAATCAGTCAACTTGGTCACACTGGACAATCTCGACGAGGTATGGCCTCGCTGGGACCCCGCCGACTCGAACCACCTCTATGCCTTGGTTGATATGGGCAGGTAAGCTGGCTACAGTACCATATTTGCACTTTTCTCCCTCGTGGCGTTCATATCCTGATCAATTTTCTTATTTCTTTCACAGTAATGGCATTCGGTTCTCCATTTCCGACCTCTCCCCGCCACAGACTCGCTTGCTCAAGTGTCTTTACCAGGAGCGAGCCGCCATCTCCCTCTTCGATGCCCTGAGCGAGTCTTCATCTGGTAGCCCCCCGCTTTTCCCCGACAAAACCATCGCCCTTGTGGCCGAGACACTGGCCCGGTTCCATGCCATTGCTGTCAACGATTACGGCGTACCCCCCGACCATGTCACCGTCTTTGCTACAGAGGCCATGCGGAAAGCGGGCAACGCTGCTGTAATGCTACAGACCATCGAGGCCGAGGTCCCTGGACTTGCTATCAAGATTCTGCACCCCCAGGTTGAGACCCTGTTCGGCTCACTGGGAGCCAGATCGGCCTTTTCTCGTCCCAAGGGTCTCTTCCTTGACCTTGGCGGTGGCAGTGTCCAGATGTCTTATCTGGACACCACCGGTCAAGATGCCGACTATCACATCCACGCAGCACAGGTCGGCAAGAGTTTGCCTTTTGGTGCTGCTCGCTTGATTAAAATCCTTGAACACGACGATGCTGACTTCAAGACCAACGAGGTTTCGAAGCTCAACCAAGGTATGAAGCTGGCTTTTGCCAGGCTTTGCGAGACCTTCCCTGCCCTTGCGGACGAAGCCAAGGGCACACAAGGCATTGATATTTATCTCTGCGGAGGAGGGTTCCGAGGCTACGGCAGCATGCTGATGCACAACGACCCAATCTCCCCGTATCCCATACCAGCAATAGGCTCCTACAAAGTCACGGGCGAATTCTTTGCCAAGACCAGTCATATGCTCGAAGTGAACACCAACTTCAAGAAGAAGATCGTCGGAATGTCCAAGCGTCGCCGAGCCCAATTTCCTGCCATCGTCACGGTCGTTGAGGCTCTCATCTCGGCCGTTCCACGCATACGATCGGTCACGTTTTGTGCCGGAGGAAACAGAGAGGGTGCGCTAATGATCAGGCTGCCCCAGGAGATTCGCGAGAGCGATCCTTTGGATTGTCTTCAAGCCGAGGCATCACTCCAAAGTATCGTTGATTTGCTGTCATCGGCTCTTCCAGCTGACTACAGCAGCCCAAAAACGGTCTTTGGTCTTGGTCTTGGCCGCCTGTTCGTGAGCAAGATTTGGTCTGACATCGGCGTTGATGCCCTTGACCATGCCTCTGCCGCATTGCACAGCGCCATCACGGAGCACCCGGATTATCCTGGTCTATCGCACGCGGCCCGGGCTGTAATGGCTCTGACACTTTGTGCAAGATGGGGCGGTAGCGTCACTCCGGCGGATGAACAGCTGTTGAAGAATTTGCGGGCATTGGCCGACACTGTCAACCCTGACACTGTGTTTTGGGCGGGCTACATTGGAGCTGTAGCTGCTACACTTGCGAAACTGGCACCAACGGTCCAGGATGCTCATCAATTTGGAGACAAGGTTCAGTAAGTTGATTGATGGACTAAACAGCTGTTTGATAGTGTACTGATCATGCTGGCGCCAGGTTTAGATCGACCGTGGAACAGTCCGATGATAACAAAGGGTTTCAAGTTCGCCTCAACCTCCAGGTTGTCGAAACAGCTCTTCGAGGCATTGACACCGGAGACCTGATATCCCATTTCGAACAATTCGGCACGCAGAGAGAGCAAGATGCCAGCAAAAAGGTCATTGTGGACATAAGCACGCTTCCTTGATGTGGCAAGTTGTTATGATGCTGTCGACAGTGATTATTCTATCTCTACGTCCATTGACATTATGTCAATATGCCATTACGATATTGTTCTACTTCTGTAAGCCCTTCGCAGTCTATCATACCCTTCCTCTAGTACCAAACGCCTGTATAGTCGGACCTATGTACTAGTATCTCTTTGTCTTCTGCTTGGGGACTCAAGCTTGCTTCTTCTCGCACACTTTCCCTTTTCCTTCGTTACTCCGCCGGTTCAAGACCAACTCTTCCCAGGTTACGACGTGTGTTTTTAGAAGCGTATCTTGACTGTTGGATGATGGCCCGTTTTTCAATTCGCAATCTATTGAGATGTCAACCCAAGAGTGTCAATAGGGGCAGGAAGGCTGATTTTTTGCTTACAGAAATCAAGACGCGTCCCCCAAGCTTTCCGAAAGGCTTGTCTAACTTGACCGTTATCGAATGCATCTGCACTGTCGAACGCCTTTTCCACGGTTCTGAGCACTTCTGCCGTACGGAAGAGCCTCGAGTATATCGTCACCATGCTCTGGAAGAGTTCATTAGTCTCCTCATGGAATGCTATTGCCAGTCAAATTAGCATATTAGTAGGGGGGATACTGGATGGGGTAGACTCACCAGTGCCAGGCGGCGTCAGGTTGAGCACGCTACGGTATGTCAACATCATCTGCCACAGAGCAGTCCAGACAGCAATAACAAGTGCTGAACCCATAGTGGACTCGAGGTCAGGTGTGATCTTGGTCTCCTGGGAGTTTGAGAACGCCTTCGTGATCTTGGTCTCCGTGGAGGTTGAGAACGCCTTGAGCAGCTCCAGTATCTGCCCTTCGATTGGCCCTATCACCTTCCCAGCACGCTGGCGCAAGAAAACCGACACTGGTTCAGGGTCGAAACCGAAGGGTACTCCGCTTACAGAGAATCGCCTAGCAGTCCAGATCCTTGCCATACACGCCACATACTGCGCGTTGTCCATCAGTTTGTGGAACTTGCCAGGCCTGGTCTGATCAGAGCCTGTGTAGATCGCGTTAGTCGACATGTTGCAAGAAAATCGAGGCTTTGAGGCTTACTCTTGACGTTCGCAACATAACGTTGATGAAACATCTGCTCATAGAGCAAGAGGAACTTCTCAAGACAATTCGGGAAATTTTCCTCGGTGTCGGCATGGGCCTCCACATCACGTTTGCCCCAGTCATAAAGATCCTTATCACTGGGACCCTCATCAGGGGCAATGCCTACCATATAATAGGAGCGAAGGTCTGGCCCCGATTCGATGAACTCGCAACCGTGAACCAACAGTATTGCGTTGCCGGCGTTGGTGCAGTGGGAGATGAGGAGCGCAGTACGCTTTGCATTGCCCCAGGCCTGTTCGCGTGTCGGTTGACACAAAACCTGGTTTGTCAGTGGCCAATCTTCGACAAGGTCAGCTATTTTCACCTGGTACGATGTCTTTTGGGCTACCTACCAGCCTTCGTCCTGATCATGGTCAAAATTGCCCGGTTGCACACAGTAAAAGGGCTCCCGACCTTTTTACTGAACTTGTCGCAGCGCGGACAAGGACCGTCAGGCTTACACTTTTATCCTTGTCAGCGAATCCGTCAAAAATTTCATATTTCGGATTAAGTTGTCTTACCCTGGTCTTCTGAATTTTGCAAGAGAGGCACGCTCTGTTTTCTCGGGTACGCGCTGTCTCTTCAGGATTTGATAGAATGCGCTCGCGCTTAGCAGTCTGCTTGCCAAGTCGGCTTCGAGATGAGGCCTGCGTTTCATCTGCATCATGACTGTCGGGTTCGGATAAATGGATATCGATGTCTTCAGACGTTGGATATCGTTTAGGGTCGAGATTTTCGCCGCGCGTCGGCTGATTGAGAAATGGGATAGCAAGGGGACTGGAGGTAGCGACAATGACAGTGCCTTCCGTCGTCTCGGATTCATGATCCAAGGTCATCCTAGTATCCTGGTCTTGTGTTGCGGACGGAGCCGAACGAACCAAGGAGTCCCCTTCGATGGAGGTCTCGGTCGTGACGGTAACCTCATCTTGTTTACTCCACAGGTCCCAGTCAAAGAACTCTTCGGTAATATCTCTGGTACCGGAAGAACTTTGGTCGAGGCCAAAGAGATGCTCGGTAGCATTCGGTATTCCTAAGGGATATTGGTTGAAATCCTCGGTGACTTGTCCGACCTCTGGGTAGGACGGCTGGCGGTTAAGGTACTCTCCAGGATGACAGGGACCTGGACAATCATCTCTCTGGAAGTCGGCACTTCCATTGAAGACACGACGGTGGAAAGGATGGTTCGCCATAGTCATACCTCCCTTATGGGCTCGGGCAGTTCTGCAGTGTCTGGGGATGTGCCGTTAACTGTAGGTTGGTGCAATAGGAGCCGGCAAGGCCGCGATGCGGAGGCAACTAGGAGGTACAACAAAGCAATCAGAAGATCAGGGTGTTTCGGTGTGACAGAATCGAGCATGCGGTATCGAGGCAATTGCAGGCTATTACTGTATCAGGCTCGGGATGGTGGAAACCAAGAGGAGAAGAGCGCGGGGGTCAAGTTGGGATGTCCTACGAGAGACTGTGCCTTAAAAGTAGCGCTGCCATCCGTTCGTCGAAGCTCATGTGGAAAAGGAGGCTCTTTCTCAGAGTCCTTCTCACAAGCCCTCTGCGAAAGCAGGCTGGAAGTCGGAATGGCTATGCCCCAGGCCATACTTGGTCCGTCTCCTGTCTCGGTCTGCCGTCTACTTTCCCATTGGTCAATATTGTTTACTTTGGGGTTGCACCCTTCCAATGAGTCGCTTGTCTCGACCGAGAATTGCGGTAGGTACCGTCAGGAGGTTGGGGAGATAGAGGGGTTGTGGTCACTCGTCATCTCTTCCACCATGGCCGCAGGTCTATCTTACAATCACAGGACAAATACGAAGAGACATGAAGAAAGAGTATGAGGCTTCCAACGCAATACACGACTCGCTGCAGACGAAATTACCCCGAAGACACCTGCATATTCTGTCAGGAGTACTTCGCTGCAAACCGTATTGGTTGATATCGCCCACAATTGCCCGTCATCATTTTCCAAAGTATCTGACGGGCTCGTCGGGGTAGCTAGTGCCACCCCCTCCAGCTTCTGTACCTGCGTGGCATGCTTCCAGGTGCCACGTATGATGCTTAGCTCCAATTACCTATTTGCGTACCTTGCGCAAGCGTGCAAAAAAAGCCCAATCACGACAATTACGGCGCACCGACAGGCGGAAGGGGAGCAATGAAGTCGAGGTCAGGTTGGACTGAACAACTTCACCGCCCTTGGATCACCTCGAAGCACACGCTTCCATACCGGTGCCTGAGCCAGACGTACACCCAGAATGATCCTTGTGTTCCCCAGTTTCTTTCCTTTCTGTTCATATGCCATGGCGCAGCAGTCACGAGTCCCAGATGCTCTACTAGCAGTTGCAGCCTAAGGTTGGGGTCAAACTTCGGCTCCCGGTTTGGACGAAGACGTCCCGAAAAGCTTAGTTGAAGCTGTCAAGACTGACTTACATGGTATGTCGTCATTAAGCCATGCCTGCTGCTTGCTGCAGTATCACAATGTCTCACATAACAACGAGAACGCCCTTGAAGAAAGAAGCAAAGAGGCAGTCAGCCTGCCGTCCAGATGCAGCTCCATGTCAGTCACCTTCCGTCGGGCCTTGTCGCCGCTAGGCTTGGATGGGCTTGCGCATAAGGGCCTCTCTATTCACTCGTGGAAATACCCTTCGTTGTTGTCGAGGCTTCAAGGTCCCCCTGCAACTTGCGGCGTCGTAAGAAGTGGATGCGCAAGAAGGCCGGGGGATATGCGGAGATAAGCCATCGCCATTTCTGATTGCGTACACACAGTCCGCCTTGATTGACAACGTAGAGTACAGCATGTTATAATCACCAAGCCCCTTTCACGGCACGTCCCGCATCTCTTGTCGTCGTGCTTCGATGACTTTGTCTTGTCGTCTACAGTTAAACATGCTACCGAGGCCCGAACAAGGGCGGCTTGCAGGCATAGCGGGGTGTCTATGCAGGGTTGCATTGACGCACCGCTATCACTCACGTGTACATACCTTGGCTATCAAACCTACAGCGCATCGTCACTGGTTAACTGGTAGCTGACTGGCCAATGGACTGACCCATGGGTGGCTGAAGCAAAATTTCCAAGATGCTGATCACTATCGCCAATCTTACCACCGCCGGCTTATAGAATCACGCCTTCGGAACTCGGCTTCTAGAAGTATGCCACTGTCACCTTTGACGTTTCATGACCACCAGGCTTCGGTCCCGGGACGGCAACCTTCGCAACTGAGTAGCTTGGATCGTACCATGGCGACAAGGCACAGAGTCTGATCGGATCGGCGGGCGGTGTGACTGCTACCGTTCATCACTGACACTAAAAACATGTGTGAGTGTCCCTGGAAGACAAACCGGTCACACATCTCGTCATGCATGATGAAGTTCTGGCCGCCGATGATCCGGAGAACGGGCGCCAGGCGACGGGATTGGGCTTGCTCTACTGGCCTTCTGACGAGGCGGACTTGGACGCGACTCTTGCCGGGCTTCAGAATAGCCTCCTCACGCGTCCTGACATGGAAATGTTTTGGGGTTCAACTGAGGCTTGAAAAGACGGTGAAGTTGATTTTCTCATTAAACTTGCATTGGCATCGTGGCGAAGCAGCTTCGAAGGAATTCCGCATGTGGTATTGCTGTTTCGCATGTAAGTCTGCTTGGCCGATTGGATGCCTTGAGCGGAGACCATGTTTTGAAGCCATTCAGATGCCATTCTCGAGGTCCGGCATGAGTGGGCCAAAAAATTTGAAACACCGATTTAATTGAAGGTTAAGCAGCCGGAGGGGAAAGGCTGAGGCCTTGGTCCAGGAACGGCAAAAGAAGCAAAAGAAGGAAATTGCGGCGACTGCGGTGCAGAAGGGCGGGATACGCTAAGGAAACCGCAAGGAAGCTAATGTTCGTTCAAAACTTGCCCTTTCCAAATTTGTGATAGTTTCAGAGGCCATTCCAAGTCTTGGACGCGAGTCGAGCTCTCATTTGCTGACTTGTTATGCATGTCCATGTAAGTCGATGGTTTGGGACTTCGGGTACCTGGACCTCGAACACTCCTTCATCACGCCTCCGAAGCTTTGTTCTCATTCGCCATTTGCTGACAGAGACGGCTTATCAGACGTGTCTATAGCGGGCGTTCGCGGGTTACTGTCTCACAAGCCAAAGAATCACTCCGGCCAAGATGGTGTGGACTGGCGGGGCTTGTGAAACGTTGACGGCCTTTCCAACGCTGAACCAGTGATATCATCCACGGCAGGAAGTCTTTCCACGGCAGAGGCGGGAAACTTTTCAGTCACAGTGCTGATACGCCCAAAAGAGATCAGCTACGAACTGGCAGCGAAAAAAAAGTTTGGTAATTTGGCCGCTCTCAGAGGCCGGTGCTGATCGTTGGGACTGCACAGATGTGGCGCAACGGCCACGCTGGGACGGCCGAAGACACTCGCACTTTTTCCATACCACACCAAGCCGAAATTCATTCTCAAGCACACATTTGGCATCTCCTATTTCCAATTCCTATACTTCGCATGAAAAGTTGCCAAAAATGGTGGTGTAAGCCGCTGATACGGGCAAGATATGACGATGACCATGACGACGAGAAGCAGAATTGGAAACGCGCCAAGCATCTCCGCCCAGCAACAAAAGTCAGCGAAAGCAAAAAGATCTTCAAATTTTCAGCTCACAAGCACAGAAAGACAGCTCCTAAACTCCCAAAATGCACTTCCAGTTTCCAAAAGCGGCAGACTGTCGTCGCATCATGTTCTCTTTTGGGCTTCAGTTTCCACACACACGACATTCTGGACTGCACACACAGGCCTCTCCGGCTTTGAGTTTGGGTGGCTATTGTAACACACCATCACTTCAGTGAGTGTCATCCCGCATGTTTCGAAACAAATTTGTTTCCGTCCTCACTGCCCCCTGTCTCTTTGTTCGGTCGTCGCTTCATTATCACAGCCTGCAGTGGGTGAAGTGTATACACTGGATGCCTATCGACACGACGACACCTGGGTGGACCAGTCCGTACTATTCGTTCTTGTCCATGATGCTCCTTCTGTTGTCCTCAGATTCACGGTCTTCAAGCGCGGTTCCCAATTATGATTCCACACACACCGCCAATTTCGACCGGTACACTGAGCTTGGGTGTCTCGAGGCGGCACAGCACATAACTTAGCATACCGACCTGGCATCAGGCTGGAGATGAGAGTATCGGATGCCTCCGAGCAACTGACCCGACTCACTAAGCCTCTCTTTGTTCATGTCTTGGACTTGCCGTCTTTCCGACCACGGTTTGCGACCGCGATGCCAACACTCGCACACGCACACTCAGATTCAAGCACTTGCCAGCGTACCTACCTAGTTACGTACCTACCTACCTACCTAAGAAGTATCAGCGACAACCGGACTGAGTAGACTGCACCCTGACCGTGAAACCAGCAGCACAACGAGGCGAAACAAGGCAAGACAAATTTGTCCAATACCTTGAGTCAGTCACTTCACCGCTCAAATTGTCAACTCGCCCGACTGCATACCTCTATGGTCTCATCCCGGGCTGGGAGTCCGTTCCTTCTCCTTCATTGAGGCAGTGACAAACAAATTCCTCCTCAGTCCGTCTCACCTTTCTGCCTTGTGCTCAAAAAACTCCACGTCAACCGGTTGGCGCTTCCTGGAAAGAACCAAAACTCACCAAATCATGACACTCCATCGAATCCAATCTCCGAGGACTGGAACTGCGGAATGTAGCTACTAGGCAAGCTTCCTAATGGCACAGCAACGAAGTTGACTACCTACCTTGAAGACTACTCACTGATCGCCTTACTGAGAAAAGGTGTCTGCTGTTCCGTTGATTGCCTCACATTGAAAATCTCCAACTTTCGACTACGTCTCCATGAGCTTCACTCCCTACAGGTAGGTAGGCACCTCGTCCTTTTCACTTACATCTTCCCAACAAGGTACATGTACCCACAACTTAACCGCCTTGTGTTCAGCCTGCTTGGTCTGTCCCCCTCATCAGCCAGTTCCAGTCATCAAACCACGTCAACACACATATCACCCGTATTCTTCAGAATAACCACCACACAGCCCTATTCTCCCTGGCTCTACATACATGTTTATGGTAGTATATGGTGGCTAGGTAGATGAGGTAGTGAAATCCTCAACGCCCAGCCGCCTCACCTCACCTTCCATGAAGCCACCAACAACAGCAACGTGACGCCTACAAGGCGGCTCCATACCATGAACTCGAAGGGGGCTTTGTCCCGAGCAGTCCTGCCCTGCCCCGTCTTGGCTGGGGCTGGCGATGAATGAAGCGGTGACGTGACAAATGGAAAAGGGATAGAAAACAGACAAGAGTACAAGAGACAAGTCTGGCTGGGAAGATGAGGCTCTACCCCCTTGCAGCAGTGGGCAGCTACCTAGCTTCGCCTCGAATTTTCCACGTGGATTTTCCTGTCATCCAAGCAGTTAGGCAGTCAGTCAGTCAGTCAGTCAGTCAGTCAGGCAGGCAGCTCCTAGCTACCTTATCTAGGTTTACCTTGAGTTAACGTCGAGGGGGTAGCTCTGAATTCTAGTGTCCAATAGCCACACAGTGTTCAGACTTCGCCTTGGTCATTGGTGCTTACCTACTACACCCTTGCCGCTTGCCTTGGCCGCCTTGTCAAGTTGTTGTCTTGAGGGCGGTGAGGCAACGGAGTTTCCAGTCTTGTTTTGACCTGACAAGGCGCAACAAAGTCTACCTACCTAATATACAGCTCCCTAGCTACAAGTTACATGGCTATACCCTACTATTCAACATGTCTTTGTCGAGAAATCATCGAGTGTCCTGGTGGTATCCACAACTGCAGACGAGCAGTGGCGAAGAACGTGGACATGTTCAACTCGCTGGGGGTATTTGGAATTTCTGTCGAATCTCCTCACTGAATAATCACTGCCTTTCATTAATCTCAGCTACAATTACACCCTAAAGGGCCATTATCATCCCCATATTCTAACAAAAAGCCATACCCTTATTTTCCATCACCACCAATACAACATATAACAACTACAAGTCTTGTCAAAGAACCAAGCCAACACCTCTTGACATGATTGTACCTCAGACAACATCAAACCCACTCTCCGCTTGGCCCCAAGCAGGTAACTCCTCCTCAACTCTTGCCGCCCTCACCCTAGAACTGACCACATGAATCCCCAAACCCTCCACATAACTCCCATGCATAACCACCTTCCCATCCACCTTGACGATATTCACCACCAAGTTTCTCCTTAGAAAGGGTTCCACGTCCTTGGGGTCCAGACTCCTCAACATCTCCCCCTGTCCTAACCAATCTCCATCTTCTCCATATCCTTCGTCTTCTCCCCTGAAGCCATTGCCAACGTCACCTTCGAAGCCCACAAAACGACCACCGACACTTCTGCCTCCCGCACCTGCAACAACACCCTTGACCGCACCGCCAACGCCGAACCTCCCCGTCCCCATCACCTTCTCAACTAGCGCCTTTGTCAACGGCACAGTTCCCGAAACCATAACTTCATCCATCCCATCCATCTTACTCTCCCCATACCGCTCATCCGACGCAAAAACCCCCATCGACCCGACATGATTCTTGGCCGACGCCCACTCCTTCGAGTCCTTTGGTGCTTCCCCGAGAAACAGATGAATGAAGAACGGCCCATCCAAGGCTTGTTTCTTCACCCTCACATTGGCTAGCCACTCCCTGTATTGCCCATTACCGCTGAAGACCCTTCCGGCAGGTAGATTGCCGGGGACCTTTTTCCCTGGTCCTAGTCTTCCGGCTCGTAGTTCCTTGCGGTAGAGACTCGAGGGAGTCGATGGACCGTAAAGGCGGTTGATCGCTGCCATTACCCTTTCCCTTGCCCTCCTTGACAGTGATCGGCTCTGGCTGTTCGGTACACTACCCGACACTCCAACCAGCTCGGGGTAGGTGTATCCAAACCTCGTATGATCGCGGACCATGTCCGATGTCCAGAACGTGCCGTTCGCGTTAAAGTAGAATGGTGTCAAAGGGGTGGCGGCGGTCTGGAACTCGCCTCGAGAGGTGGTGTAGGATGCGATGTAGGCTTGCATGGGGGTGACGTAGCTGCTTGGGTACAGGGACTGCCAGATGGCGAAGATGCGGTCGACCATGGCGTGGTGAAGAAAGAAAATGGGGTCAAAGGAGGAGTAGGGGATGTAAGCCATGTGGCCGCCTTGAGCGTTGGGTTGGCCTAGTCCGCCGCCGCCGGCTAGGTTGTGTACAGTGTCATGAATGGCTTCGAGGGAGTCGAAGGAGCCATTATTGATGTAGGGTATCCAGGCGTTGTTGCTAAAGGTGCTGTAGTTGCCGTAGTTGGAGAAAAGAATGTAAAGACGTTGGCCAATTGAGTCGAGATTTTGGTCAAAGTTCACAGCCACGAGGGAGTTGTTGGATTGCGCCTTGTTATCGCTGGTAGTCGGGCTTCTGAGAGTAGTTGTCCATATATCCCACTGTCGTACACCAAATGTCAGCAGAGGTCGCTTCGCCAAAGGTGACTTGCACTCACCGGATCCTGAAGAAAGGCAGTAGCATTCAGCGGCTTGAAGGAGTAACTGAACAAGGGGTTGGCAATTCTCTGCACTCCATTGGGGCCATTCACATCCACGTACGGGCTCCCACCAACACTAAGAGGCAGAACGCTCTGTCCTGAAGGCGGGCTGGAGGCCCAATCCCAGTAGGGTATGCGGAACCGGAGAGCAGCCGCCTGGTATCGGTTTCGTGGTTCGCCCTCGGGCCACCATTTGGCAATGTTTTGGATCAGGTTGTAAAGTACTTGCTGTGACGGGTCTTGGGTCAGCAGGCGTCATTATCTCAGGGACAGAGAGAGACGTACCTCGTAGAGGGCAAGATAAGGACGATGCCATGTCGGGAAGAGGATCGAGGAGTGAGTACAATATCCTGTTTCCTCATTTCCGGGAGTAGGAGTCACACCGCCCCAGGTTTGGTGAGGTATGCCGTGTATCCCTGGTTGACGTTGTTGGTTAGCATGACAGAAAGCACACGTGTAGCGTGTCAGTAGACAGAGAAGAATGAAGAGGGGGGAACCTCAAGTGTAACATTAGTACCAGTAATCCCGTACCACGACACCGGCGATGACTGATCGGTGAACTGCATCAGACTGAGCCCCAGGATATAGAGCGTCCATAGCTCTTTGTCCTGTTCCAGCTGACGGATTTCTTGTCGAGGTCGGATTGTCTCCCCACCCTCGGCTCCCGTTACTACCGGCACCGGTTCTTGCGAAGCGAGCTGGCGCTTTATGAGCTTTGCTGCGTCAAATCCGTAGTCGTACGCGCCATATTGTGCGAGAACGGAGTGCGCAGCGAACACAGCGAGAAATAGCAGAGCGAGTGGTAACCGAAAGCGTGCCATTGGCATGGGTTGCGATGTGCAAGTAGTGTCAATCTCGGTTGTCGTAATGATTGAGACGTAGTCTTTGCTCGGAGAAGAACCGGTGAAGCGTACGAATGACTGACCAAGAAGGAGATTGGTCGAGAAAGACGTGGGCGAGGTAAACGTCCGTTGCGGGTGGGTGGGAGAGACCGGAGAGGAATGGGATGTAACCAAGGCGGTGATGAGCTGCGATTAGGGGAGGTAAATGGGTGTCGAAGTAGTCATTGACGAAGTCCTTGAAGGTCCCGAGCCAGAATGGAATGCTGATGGTCGAGAATTATGGCAAAGATTGGGACGTGACTCGAGTATGCTGATTAGGAGGAGTTGGCGAGATGGACAGATTAGAAGAAAAGAAGAGAAAAGAGTTTCTGGATCCAGAACAAAAAAAATCTTGAAGTACGAAACGAGTGACTGATTGCTGTTCCGATCACGGTGGACAGTGGCTTTTCTGATTGTCAAGCATGCCTTGACTACCGATCATGGCAAAGTACAGATTGTCGTAGTAGGCAAGGTACTCGACCCAAAACACCAACACAGCGAGACGAACTGAAGCTTGCGATCGCCAGTCAGATGAAATTGAAGATGTCAAAGAAAAGTCTGAAACTGCCCGGGAAGTGGAGAGACAGCCAAGTGCCATGGAGTCGAGCCGAGCGTGATACTGTAGTGACGATTCTATGGAACGGACGAGAACTTCCTCTGGAAGGAGCAGCGAGATTGAAAGTGGAAGGTACTTACCGACATAATTTCCACACCGGTTGACACAAGGAAGGTACATCTGGCAAGAGACTGGGGGATCCGAATGCCGTGATCGGAAGTCGGGCCTCAGAGAGGCAGGTGAAACCCGACATCGGTACTGAAATTGCTTCCTTCCTGGATGGGCGTGTTGCGTGTCAAGTGTCAAGTCACTGGAGGTAACTATCCGTATCAGCGTTGTATCCATTTCAGCTGTAGTGTGATCTTACGTTGGAGTGTCTCACCTGGTCATGGTAACAAACTGAAAGTATTTTGAAAGAAAAAGTCACCTCGTTGTGAATAGCTTCATAATATCGAGTTCCTCACTCGGGGACAACACTTCCATTATGCTGCCAATCACATCATCAAACCCCATCTTCTTCAACTGCACCATCGTTGACACGCATACCTATCATTAGGGGTCACGGCAGCTATCCGATCGTGTTAAACACAATCTTGCGTCCTGGTGTCGTCTCCCGCTCTTGTGTTCAGGTACATCGTTCTCTTGTGCTACCGTCAAGTTTGCATTTGTCATCAAACCACTGCTCATAGCCATGAAGAATGACCTGTGGATGACGGGATTCAGCTCACTTGCGTCAAAGTCAAATCCACTCGAGTGTCCCACCACATGCTACTCCTGTTCATGGTTTCACCATGCCATGGGAATAAGAAAATGTCTGCCGGTATGACCGAAACAGGAGAGAAAAACATTCGAACATTGCAAATTACACTACCCTAACTTACTCCCATGATGCTGCTAAACACATAAACCCATACATAGGAACTTTTCTGTACCCTTTGACCAGACCCATCCATACATAGAACTCTCATATCTCTTAAGCCGTCAACATCAAATCACCCGCCTTCTTCCCTACCAACTGTCCCCTCCTAATCTCATCCTTCTTATCTACCTTGTACTTCAGCTTGATGCCCATAGCCGCCAGCTCCACATCCAAGTACTTGAGCGCACCCGGCACCGCAACGATGGTAGTGTTCTCTCCACCGATCCACTGGGTACCGCTGCCATCTTCCCAGATCTCTCCGTCAATCTGCATGAGATCGACATCCTCCATATCGTCCAGCCTGACCGCGCAGTTCCTGCACCTAACAGTGCTGACGGCCTTGCGCTTGCCGATAAATGGCGACACGGTGGGTTGCGTGGAAAGGAAGGAGCCGCACTGACGGCACATCCAGCTCTTGGAGTAATCCGAGCAGTTGAGAAGACGGTCCTGAAGGAGGAACGAAGTACCGTGAGCGAGAAGGGCATCGCGCTCCATTTCACCGACACGGATACCACCACCCTTCTTACGACCCTTGATGGGCTGACCAGTCGTAGGCACGACGGGGCCAGTAGTACGCACTTGGTACTTGTCGTTAACCATGTGACGCAGACGCTGGTAGTAGACCACACCAATGTAGATATCCGCTTGGAACTCCTCGCCCGTAATACCCGAGTAGAGGGGCTCGTTGCCGTGGTAGTTGTAGCCAGCCTTCATGAGCTGGTGGCCAAAGTAATCGCCCGCCGTGTTTTGCTCGTCGAACTTGAAGGGGGTGGAGTCCTGCGCGAGACCGTGCAGGGCGCCAGCCTTGCCGGCTAGCGACTCGACAAACATGCCAATGGTCATGCGCGACGGGAAAGCGTGAGGGTTGATGATGACGTCGGGCTGGATACCGGTTTCCGAGAAGGGCATGTCGGTGGCGGGCCACTTTTGCGAAAGGACACCCTTTTGACCGTGACGAGACGAGAACTTGTCACCAATGACGGGGGAACGGGGAATGCGCAACTTGATGGAGACGGTCTGCAGGGGCTCGGTGCCATTGTCGGCGCCGATGACGCGGACTTCCTCTACAAAGGCGTCTTCCGAGTCCTTATACCGCTCGTAGTGAGTGACGCCGTCGCGGTTGACGAGCTGGCCGTTGTAGTCGGCGGAAACGGTGTGCCACGCGCAGATGACGTCGCCCTCACGGAGAAGACGGCCGACGCGAGGGAGACCGTCGTTGTCGAGCATGTCGCGGGTGGACTCCCGGATGGTACTGTTGGGCGCAAAGCCGAACATCTTGACAATGCTCTTGGCCGAGCGTGTCCTGCTGTCATCCTTGAGACTGACCTTCTTAGTCTTGTAGATGCTACCGTGACCAAATCCTCTCTCGTGTGCCGACTTGTTGAGAATCATGGCGTCGTCCATGTCGTAACCGGTGTAGGAGATGACAGCGACGACGGCGTTCATGCCGTTGGGGAAGTTGTCGAAACCGTACGTGTTGTGCAGAGGTGCGCGGACAACAGGCGTCTGACCCGTCTGGAGACGGTACATCTTGTTGTCCGTACGGTGGGCAAGAGCCGTTGCTGGTGTACCCATGGTTTGCTTACCCATCTGACACTGGTACATGTTACGGGGAGACTGGTTGAAGTCGGAGAAGGGGGTCATGTTGGCGAGGATGGAGAGGATGTTAGTAGGATCGAACTCCACGTGGGTAGAATCCCCGGGGATGACCTCCTGCTCTGTGCAGGCAATCGACATGTAAGGCTGCTCCTGAGGACCGACAAAATCCTCCTTCTGCAGAGGGAGGTACTTGACGGGACGGACCATACGAGCGGGCTGAGAGGACATGTAGAGACCGGGGTAAGAACCGCCGTTGGAAGGAGGGACGTAGCCAATCTCGAGCTGAAGAGGTACGCCGTTCTCGCCGTTGACCTTCCAGTAACGGAGAGTCTCGGCGATGGACTTGCACTCCTCAGGGGTGCACCAACCGACGATCCTGCCATCAAGCATAACGACTACACTCTCGCTGGTGGCAGCCGAGGAAATGTTGACAACGCCGAGCTCGAAAGCCAGACGAGGAATGGTAGAGGCATCCACAGACTCCGTCATGATCTTGCACTTGTGGGCCAAATGGTTGAGAAGACCGCAAGGAGAACCATCAGGAGTGTGGACAGGGCAGAGGAAACCCCACGATTCGGGCAAAAGCTTACGGACCGTTGTCGTTTTGAGCTGGGCGAAGAAGGAACCACGATGCACCATGCGGAAGTGACTGATGAAACGCAAGAAGTTAAGCTTCTCGGCAACGACGGTGAAGCCGGAAACCTGCTGCAAGTCGAGACCGGAGGGAGACACAAGGTTGCCGGTAGACAAGAAGTACTCGAGCGACTGACCAATGTTTTCGTTGGCCCTGCGGAAGATGGCGATGGGGAAGTCCTTGAGGAAAGTGTCGGACTGGAAAGATACCGTGGGGTTCCTCCTGAGGTAGTCGCGAAGGGAGGCCCGGAAGGAAACGGTCAACAGCTCCTCGAGTCTCTCCTTGATGATCTGGCCGTAGAGGAAACCACCCAGGAGAATCTCCTGGTTCTGGACGGCATCGGGGTTGTCGACAGCGCAGTCACCGGCAACGAGAGCGTACAGCTTGCGGCACATGAAGAGCAGCATGTTGAACTTGTCGGCATCCTGCTGCTCGGTAACGTCCTGGCAGCCGAGATGGACAAGGACAATCTTGCGGAGGAACTCGGTGCCGACCTCGTAGTCGGACATGGTGTCGGGGACGCCGAGAACGACGCGGAACTTTTGGCCGAGGTACGCGCGAGTCTGGGTCTTGCTGTAAAGGCCGTATTTCTTGTAGGTGCGGAGGAGGAGTTCGACGCGGTCGGTCAAGAAGGTGTTGGCGACGCCCTTGGACTGGGGTGGGCCGACAAGACCCTCAAAGATTTCTCGATCGTTTGTCTCAACGAGGGCCTTCATGATCATCATGACGGGGATGAGGTACTCGTTCTTTCTCCACGAGAAACGGAAGGTGACATTGCCGTCGCTGAGGTAGTGGAGGACGTTGGTCTGGGAGGTCTCGTCAGGGCGGACGGATCGCATTATGATACCGTACGGAGTGTAGGAGGCGCCTCTGTTCTGGAAGCTGGGACGGACGATGGCGAGCGGGAAGTTTCTCCGGTTAAGGAGGAGCATGCGAATGAGCTTTTCGATACCGTTGACGATGAAGTAACCGCCCAATTCTTCGGACTCTTCCTTTCTTGCTACCAGCTGGGCAGGGGAGTTGTTTTGGAGGTGGCACTTGTTGGACTGTTTTTGACAAGCAGAATTGTTAGACATGAATGATGTAGACTGGGAATATCTCCGGTCACCAGGCTTACCTTGACCATGATGGGCATCTGGCCGAGCTCGCGCACAAACTCGTGAGGCTCGCCATCGTTAATGCGATACTCAAAGGTGGCCGACAGCTTGCCCCTGTATGAGACATGTCGTTCT